AAAAACACACATGTGGCGTCGCAGTTTAGTTGATCCTCTCTAGGAATCAGTGTTGAAATATTTGTTTTTTTAAGTTCCAAGAAGTCGATCACGGAAACATGCGGCTGATTCTGTGCTGAGATTACACCTTCTGTCGGTGCTGCAAACACTTTTTTTTTTTTTTTTTACTGATGTAGCAGCTACAAGAGGCCGCTTGCACCTTTAAAGTAGCCCAACAGTTTATTCCAATTAACTGAACATTTTCTAGTTTAACTTTAATCCCAGCACTCTTTGTTTCCTGCTTTTGCTGCTCATTAATCCACACTCGAGCCACGCGGCGGCTTCAGTCGAGTGTTTACCCACAAGGCCGAGCCATGAATGGCAGCTACGTCGAATACAGTATTTTTTAAAGATGCGGGGGTGGGAGAGTGTTTGGAGCTTCTCTACCCGGCAACAGGGAACTTAGTCATCTCTGTCGCAGGCCTCCCACGCCCTACCCACGCTGCACTGCTCTCGGTCTCTCTCGGTGGTGGAGGTGCATGGCCGCGGACTTGATACCAAAACTAACTGCATCACTTCATCCAGGCCCACAGATGACAAAAACACACATTTACGGTAAACGAAGAGGGGGGGAAAGCCTTGACGGAACAGGGCTGGCATAGGTGGGTGTGAGTGTGTTTAGTGTGTGTGTTTAGTGTGAGTGTGTGTGTGTGTGAGTCGACCTTCTTCTGACAGTTGATGGAAACTGATACCACTTATCAAACGCTACGAAAAGTGTGTAAAATGAAAGGAGAGGCTGAAAGGGCAAAAGAGTGAGACGGAGAGTGAAAGATGGTGCATTTCAAAGCGTGCTGACCAACTGTGTAGGTCGCTGTGCGGTGACACGAACTGAGGCTGGCATTTATGAAGGTCACGGTCAAGGAAGTGATGGAGAGTTTCTGTCACGCTCACAATTCAGAGATTGATTGTTTCAGGAGGATTTAAGCCCAGACATGAGGTCCCTGCTGACTCCTGTACTGATCAATAAATCAGTTACCATCTTCCATTTTTGAACTGATTTCAGTGATTTCAAGGCCGTCTGGCAGCGAACTGACGTCTTTGTTTCGGACTGAATCAACCACACTGCTGGATCTGACTGTGCAAACAAAAATGACACGTCTGTAACTTCTTCGACTTAAATTACACTTTCCATACTTTCCATGCAGCCACAAAGACCCGAGCACTGGCTTGAAATTCTTCCTCGACTTGTCGCGGGGGACATCCACAGACCCACGCGTTCGCTGACTCAGCACGCCTGTTGTGTACACTAAAAACCCGACTTATTACTGTACGAACACTCACATGCACATCCACTGACCGCACTGCTATCTGCATCACTCTAGCGGTAGATCTTGCATAAATAACACGTGTTTGGACTAAGAACCCTTGAAGCTGAGATGCAGCCACCACCGAGGCTGGTTTGTACCGAACATGTTCATTAGCGAGCAGAGATCACGTCTCCAAGAACAGCACTGGGCGAAGAGTCCGCTTGTTTTTTTTTTCTTCTATGTGGCTGCAACCAGAATTACAGGATTATAGAATGACTTTGACCTAAATGATCCCTTTTATTGTCACAGTTGAAGCCATTATGTTGTTGCACCTGGTGCGCGACGACCAAAAGCGGGACTCCATCTTGAAATATGGCTCCAGCTGTCTAAGCCCATTAATTAAAGCCGTGACAGCGTTCGCTGGCTGCAAATAGAAAATCAAAGAAATGCTCTGGATAGAGCTTCCTCATGGTTCTTCTGGTAGAACAGTATATCAGAAACACAATCACCAACACAGACTGTATATAAAAGATGAAGATGCAGTCGTCCTCGGATGTATTCACACCCTCCCATTAAAGAAGAGGGAAAAAAAGCTGTCAATGAAATAAGCTGAAATTGACAAAAGTAATAATAAATAAAAAATTTAATGAACATCATGACGTTGCTGTTGAATTGTGGTTCAACAGAAATATTTAGGGAAAAAAAAAAAACAAGCCTGATGGGACCCGTGAACTAATATTTAGTTGAACAACCCTTTGAGCCAATCACTGCCATCAGGTGTTTTCTGTAACTCCCAATCAGACGTCTGCACCTGTTGACAGGTGTTCTGATCCACTGCTCATCAGCAAAGTGCTCTAATCTGTCTGGGACGGTTTTTTAAAATTCTTCTTTTCAACCACAATTTAAAATCAACATCTTATTTCACTAAATTACAATCCAGCACATTTTTATTTATTATTACTTTTTTCAGTTTCTAGTTATTTCAGTGACTGTTGTGAATTTTGCCTTTTCTTTAATACAAGGGGATGAATACATTTGAGGACGACTGCATCTCCAGGTCTGGAAAGTGAAACTAAGGCACACACGCCTTAAGCCTGCACTCTTTCTAACGGCCAGCAGGGGGCGACTATTGTGGCTGCAAAAAATGGCAGATTGTGTAGAAGTTTATGAGAAAATGAGCCGACTTCTCCTTTGATCCATAATCTCAGTAAACCTTTTTTTAAATGAGTTTCTGGTCTAAATTGCTGCTTTAAAGTCTCCTTTAATCCAGCTTGATGTTCAGTTTGTAAATTTAGAAGGAGCGTAGACGGCAAAGCTTTAGGACGGAGCTGCCTTGTGTTTGTCACTGTAGTTTCAAAAGACAAAAAGGTGCTGATGGCAACATTCCAACCTGAGGCTTGAAAACAGGAAAACAAATGGGTGGCGTCATGGTGGCTATGTGCATGTTTTAGGTACAGTCTATGGGTGAGGCCTGGTTCAAGCAGTTTTCACTATGTGTGCATGTACAGCTTTATGTCACTGAAAGCCGACCTTTTTCAGGAAACTCCTCATGCAGAGTTAACATGTTTCTAAAACATCAACACCGACGCTCGCTGTCTAACTGGGTTTAATCAGCCGCTGCATGTTCTTCCCTGATTTCTATGACTCTATAACTAAGCAACCACAAAGTAAGCACAGATGGATTTTACAAACTCGTACAAGAAAGACGGAGATTATGGCAATTTTAAAACACTTGTTTCTGATTTAACACGCTGCTTTACAATGAAATTGGACGTCACCTTAGAGACAAACACGGCCCATATAGTCGTATTTTCTGTTCTGGAAGGATAAACACATAAACAGCGAGTCTGTATGTCAAATATTTCTGCCGCTTCGTTCACGAAAGGGTTAAAAATCTCGATGCGTCAGCGGACGTCTGGCATATTATTGCAAAACTACACAGCAGCACTGAATCCGTGAAGAAGTACAGTCATCACTTATGGCTTGCCCACTCACAAAGAGACTCTCTGTTGATTCAAAAGGTGAATGTGGAGCATGTGTGTTATTGATAGTTGTGTCTCTTGTGTACGCCGATAGAACAAAGCCTACAGATCTTATATAATGTGCGTCTGTGAAACTCCTGCTAACGTCACCGGCAGACTCTGCAAACAGGTCGATCAAAGTGACTGAAGCGCTCCAGAGCCGGAGCCCTTTCATCACCTCATCCCATGTGAGGACAGCTGCTGTGATATCGCCGGGAGACGCAACGCCGCCACTTTCGCTTTAGCCCTTCAGAGGTGCGGTCAGTGCGTCACTCTGTGATTACACGGCTAAGTTGGGACCTGCAGGTTACATGCCAAGTGCCAAATTTAGCCAATATTTTGCCGCAACCTGACCGGCTGCCAGCAAAACTGAAAACAGTCGTCCCTCACGGCGCTGCTCGCCGTCTCTGTGATTATCCACCATCAGATTTTACATTACATTTCCTATTTTTAGCCCAGCGCTGCACAAGGCGAACCTGAGCTTTGCATGCCGAGCTATTTATTGCTGTAGGAAAATCTCTCCTCGTGATCTTCACACAAATAAGAGGATTCAACAACCGCTTTTTGAAGCCTGAACAGAAGCAGAACTAAAACATGCCATGCAGCGCCTGGCAGACAGAAATCCCCTCAAACTTCTAAATATATTTCCAACCTGTCGCTTCATTCCTTGCTGCTTTTTATCCTTCTGTTTTCTTTACAAATCCACCACTGTGTTATCTTCTCTTTAAATGTTTTGATTTGTCTTACTGAACCTCCTCAAGCAGAAACGATGAAGCAACTCCCCTCGACCGGCTCACACAACTAAATGGGAAATAACAGGATCTCCTAGAGGTGCAGTCCAAGTCAATGCTGAAAAAAAAACAACTAATGTCCAGCTTGTTGTCACTTACCAGTGTGTCTCTCTTCATCCTCCTCTTCATCAGAAAGTCTTCAGTGAAAACTGAGAAAGGCAAATAGAAAGAGAGAGAGAGAGAGAGAGAGTGAAGGGAAGAGGAAAAAGAAGAGAGAAGGAATGTTTTAATCACTCTGAAGGAAGCCAGTTATCTTCCCACTCACTGTGCTGAGGATCCTGCTCTAACAGACACACACACACAAACACACACACACCAACACACACAAACACACACTGAGACACCTCCAAAGGTCAAGATGAATCACGAGGAGAGAGAAAAGAAGACACAGAGAGGGGTGACAGGGATTGAGAGAGATGACAGTAAGACAGAAAATAAAGGCTCCAGAATAAGAGAGAGGAATGAATAGAATGCAGAGAGAGAGAGAGAGAGAGAGAGAGAGGAGGTGACGGAGGGAGGGAGCGCTCACAGAGACTGGAGAGAGACAGAATGAAATGCTAGGCTTGGCTGAGTCATCTCTAACAACCACTTCCTCCAAAAAAGCTCTACTAAAAGCTCTACTAATGACTAGCCAACTTCTGATGCAAGCGCACACACACACACACTCACACACTCACACACACACACAAGAATCTCCCACTTGAGCTGCAGCTTTTTCTTCCTCCTTCAGCTTCAAAGTGCTAAAACTCGCGCTTGCAGGTCCGTCTCAGCGAGGACCGATTTGAATGAAAGGCATTTCGGTCGACTCTGGCACGGATCTGTAAAAAGCCGTTTGAGGGTTCAGACTTAGTCGGGCCCTCGGTTAGCATAAGGGGCTAAAAGTGTCTTATTATGCGACCCGAGGAGCCTCACAAAGATAGAAATACAAGCTCGTATTTAGGGGAAAGCCTGAGAGTGCGACTCATGACCCCCGCTGACGGTGTCATGAGAAAAAGCCCAATCTGCTGCCGGATTCAGCTTTTCCCAGAATTCCCAGAGGTATTGACTTCTTAGGTTTTTTTGCATCGAGGGCGGCTCTGCTTTACATCCGTACACCATGCTGCTAAAATCACGCTGAGGGTCTTCCTTAAAGGAACAGTTCAACATTTTGAAGAAAGAAAAAAAGTTTATTTCATGTTAAAGATCCTCCTCTGCAAAAATCTAGCTTTTACCTTGTTAACTTGGTTATATGTTGGATTATTTCTACATATTAGAAGATGATTAATGAGCAAAATAATGAATATTTCCACGTTGAAGCACGGATTTAAACTTCCGAGGCAACAAACCTAAAGAATCTAATCCTGTTAGCTTTCAGAACAGGGCTTTCCATATCATTGCTCTTCTTCAGAAGTGGCCAAATTACTCCATTATTACAGCTCTTGCCACTGTGTAGAGTAGTGTTACAGTGTTTGAGCAGACTCGTAGGTGAGCTGGTGTGCTCGAGCTGCAGCAAATGGGAAAGGATGTGTTTAGAGAGAGGCTGGGAATCAATAAATCTGTACATTCTAGAGGAAGGAAGACTACAGAGATGCATCTAAGATATTTATTTTAAGTTATTTTTTTGGCTTTTTGCCTTTATTTGATAGAACAATTGAGAGAGAGGCAGGAAAGTGGGGGAGAAGAATGGGGGAAGGAGCTGCAGGAAAGGGCCATGAGCGGGAGTCATGACTCATGACCACTGCGTCTGGGACTACAGGCCCTGAATGTGGGACGCCAGCTCAACCAGGTGAGCTATATCTGAGATATTATGAGGCAGAAAGGGATTATACTCTTCTAAAACGTCTAAATATGTGACGTTAATACTCACAGATGAGCTTTTTGAGTTAATTCATTGCCCAGGGAGTGATTTTAAAGTCAGCTGATAACTTTTTAGAGAAGAAGTTGACTTCACAAGCAACAAAATCTTTCCTGAGCTACACTGCTTTACTGTACAACTCTTCACTAGGTGGAGAGTTAAGACATGCTTGGTGTAACTTCTGGAAGCAGGCATATCCGCTAAACCTCATTAATTAACACGCTGCAGCTTACATGCACGTCTACCCACACATATAAAAATATTAAGGAGTTGTTCGTCTTTAAAAAAAAAAAAATCAATTATCCGCTGACTCTATTTTGAGCAGCGTTTGGTGCAAGTTTCACTTTTGCTTTTGGCAACTGCAATGAAGCTTTTAATCTCAATGTGACTTCAAGACTTCAGGATGCTGCTGTTTGCCAAGAAATAGTTCCGCCGCACATGGAACCTCTTAAAAACACAAATCGTTTTGCATTAGTCAAACCAACGCATAAAACTGGCCCATTATTAAATGTGTTTGTAATCACACTTTTTCTTAACTTCTCCCCCGCTTTATGCTAAGCTAACGTAACCACATCCCGACTCCAGCCCCATATTTATCCCACACGCATATCAATCCTCACATCTCCCTCTTGGAAAGAAAAGCAAACAGGCACGTTTCCCAAAAGAAAAAAGAACAACAGCTATTTGTTCAAGAGCAGTTTAACAAGCTGAGGCCTTGTCGCCGCACATCTGGGCGCCGCCTGACGCATCTGATCTGAGGCAGAGTTCTGTGATTTAGGAGGGTTTTACGGGTGCGGCATCAGTGTCAAACCCATGTGGGATGGCGCGAGTGAAGGTCGGTTGGTTGGTGGAGCTCAATGAAGAGATCAAAACCGGAAACAAGGCTGCTGGTGAAAGTGCAGCTTCTCGCTCTCTTCTGCACTTTGCACTGACATTAATAACCCCCGGGGTTATTTTGACACAAATGAATTCCCACCCCATCCAGCTGAAGCTCTTATCCGGAGGAAGTCATGGGAACTCATAAATACACACATCCTCCCTTGCAGTTCCCACACTTTTCCCAGCACACACACACACACACACACATATACACAAACCCTTATACAGCCACGGACACAAACACATGATGGACGTGATGCAAATTCTGTTCAGTCATACTGGCACTAACGAAAATGGGGAACAGACACAGATCACTGCAGCAGATGCGACTGCAGCTCAGCCCGGTTAATTACAGATACAGCTGGAGAACAGGATATGACAGTTCTGCATGTTACTTCTGCAATGCATGCTCAAATATCAGCGTCAAGCACTGGTAGAAGACCATCATCTCTCTGCCACGCTGCAGCTTCCTTCAAAAAGGACAAAGCTCCGCTCAAATGTTCTGTTTGTTGGAAAACGACGGCAGAGAGTTGCGTTATCTCAGGATTAGAAGAAAACAACAACAACAACATTGAAACTGATGAGCTACATGCTGCTCTGACTGCTGCTTCATTTGCAAATTACACACACAGAAACACAAGCAGTCGTGTGTCGAGCGCTGTGGTGTTTTGACCTAAATGTCAATTTCAGCTAGTTGGTATGCTCACACTGACAATGCTGCTTTCTAACATGTGCGAGTGCGGATATTTGTTAATGAGAGAGCTAAGCTTTGCAGGTACTTGGCCAGAAATCCACTTACAAGACAAAAAAATGTAAGGAAAGACAAAAATGTCATTAAAATACCTTGGAAATCCATTGAGTAGTCGATGAAAAATCTCAGTCTGGACCAAAGTGGGCCAACTGAGAGACCACCATCCCAAAAACCAAGCTATCACATTAATTAAAGATATCTAAATTACATTACCAAATGTCACTTAATTTGAAAAAGACACTAGAATTACCACTACTACCATTTTATGCATCCACAAGCCACTGAAGTCAGTTTTTATCCATGGCGGTCCAGATTTGACCTTTGACCTTTTGGATATAAAACCATTACGTCATCATTTTATTCCATGACACGTTTCTATTTAATTTTGTCGCATTCAACGCACTAAATATGATGAAAAACGTGTTTTTGAGTTCCCATTGACGACCAAAATCTAATCCGTTGTGTCCATGTGAGTATTTCTGGCAAATTTAAAGAAACTTTCCCGACATTTGGCAGATATTGGAAAAACAGAAGAACAAACCAAAAACCTACTGAGTCCAGCAGCAGCTTTTGCTTTTATTGCTTGGTATCATAATTGCTCAGACTCCTAAAACAAAAAGCCATGGACCAACAGCTACAGTATTCCTATAATGCAATGAATGATGACATTTTATATAAAAACCACTGCTAATTTGATCATTATGAACAACCTATAGTGAGGTAATGGCTTAAATTATGCTCGCTCGAGGGAAAAATCCACACGACACCGTGCATTTTCCATTTCAGGAGGCGAAAACTAAGAAATAACTGAGACGTCGGTGTGAGCAGCTGCGACAGATAAGCATGCAAAGAAAACTTGCCTCCACAGAAAGCGAAACCTTATGTGCTTAATTATGAAAGTTCTTTAATCGATAAGATGCCACAGTGCTACTCACACAGTGTGACAGGCGATAAGGGCAAATGAGATCAAAGGAATCCATCAAAAATAGCAAGAGAGGCGTTAACGAAACAGACAAAATCTTATGCCCAGCTGCACTGAAACTCACTGATGCTGGGTCAAACGAATTGTCCAAACCGAGTCATGTGGCTTTGAAAACTATTTTTAGCTTAATTTCAGCCCGTTTATTTCATGCACCTTGTAGCTGAGAGAAGAGAGAAAGTGCAGTCTTTGAGAAATGCTGGCTCAGCAAAGTGCTCGTTGTGGGAGGATTGTGGGAGATTGAGTCTACAGATGAGTCAAGGAGAGCCATTACGCAGAACAGCAGAATGAATAGCACGGCTTTCTATCTTTAGTGTCCGTGTGGGAATCAAACCAACACTTGCACAGTTGCTGCAACGGGATCCGCGCCGGCGTTGCACAACGGTGTTTTGAAAACACACTGGCTGTGCTCGTAATGACACACTGCAGTGACATTTAAAAGTATTTTCAAACTGCTGGTATTGTAGAAAACATGTGTACGAAGGCGCCTCTGGATGTAAGTGTTACACAACAGTCGAAGCCATTAATGGATTTTTCTTTAAATGCAATGATTCAGTAAAGTGATATTTTTGGTGACGTGGTTTCTAAATGACCGCAGCTACAGGGAAAAAAAATCCCAAAACCAAGCAACAGAATATTGTTTTTGCACATTTTGAGTCATGCATTCCTCAGCCAAAGGCAGTAGCATACTTCAGACCCAGCAGTG